TTAACCCCTGACTATATTAATTTTGCTGTGAGACTCTGTCTCCACCCCTACAATGTAGGCAAATAGACCTAGATTCTTTTAAGTGTTTTTCTCTGATCGTGGTCTGCATAACAGAGTTCACTCATCAGAATTAGAATGGCCATATTCTAGTCTATTACTACTATTATATTATAATATTAAAATGGCCAAAGGTTAACTTTCCTTAAAAATAGCTGGTAAAAATGTTGTTTAAGTAGCTGCTTTTGATTTTACACTGCTAGTATATTTAACAGCCTGGACCTCTGCAGATCACAAACACACTGCACATTGAAATTGAACTGTTGAAAAACTGAGGGCTTGTAAATTCTGAGAGTGTCAACTCTGGAGTGAGAAGAAAGGGCGTCAGGAAGTACACTCCCTTTGGCCACAGCATGAGAGGTTTCGCTGCAGTCTTTCTACACAACTGTTGGGCTCTTTTTTTCTTTCCTTCAGAGAAGTGTCAATGCTATGTAGTGCAACAAAAATAATCCAGTTTGACTCCTCTGTTGAGCAACTGGCATATTTTCCATTCAACACAGATTCCTCTGATACACTTCTAATAGATTAGAAATAGGAATGACGCAATAGAAATATAGCTTTTTGCGGCGTTAACCTGAAGTTTCCACAATCGACATCGAAATGCTCGATCAACTTATCAACTTTGCTTATTCAGGGACATTTTTGCATGTGTGAGTGTAAACAAAAAAAGGGGGCAGTGCAGGCAGTTATTGCATTTCCTGTTGGACAGCGTGTAAGCAAGAATACAACGTACATGTGTTTTGGTTGTGGTTATTGAGATAGAGCTCGATGCATGTGTAGCCCTTTATACGTGTGTTTGTGTGGGGAAAAAAACAAACCAGTGGTTGTGGCCCCTCCTCATTTGGCTCCTCCCCTACCCTGCTGAAATATGTGTACCTGTATCTCTCAGTGTGTCAGATTTGAGCGCGGGTTTGACAGACTGTCAACCGGTGTTTCAGGAAAGTTGTTGACGGGTCAAGTGGCAAATTGGACAACAGCAGCTGTGGAGAGGCAGGTGAAAAAGAGCAGGGAGTGAGAAGGGAAGGCAAACAGAGGGGGAGAGGGTGAGAGAGGGAGTGAGACAGAGAGCCTGGGTCAGACAGAGACAGACAAAGTGCAAGTATACAGAGAGTGTGTGTGTGTATATATATATACACACTCCCATAGAGGAAGACTGTCAGCAGAGCACACAGTTCCCAGAGGAGAGAGGCAAAAGAGACTGCTGAGAAGGTCAGACTGACAAAATGCTGAGGAGGAGAAGTGTGTCATTTGGTGGATTTGGATGGTATGTATGCGTTTTCATTCAATGCTCAAGTGTGTTTAGGAAAGTTTGCATTGTGCATGTCCATGCTCATATTTGTGCCCATTTACATGCAGTTCTACACTGTGTTTGAATCATTCCCATTGTGCTTTATAATCAGCTGTAGAGTGTGCCAGTTGTTGTTACTTTACAGTGTGCGAATGGGTGGAGTAGAAATGTAAACTTTTTTTATGAAAAGGAAGGATGGGTGGAGGGCTTAGCCTGCTCCTCTGTGTCACACCTCTAACACTTTGTCCTCTGTTTGTCTGTGTGTGTGTGTGTGTGTGTGTGTGTGTGTGTGTGTGTGTGTGTGTGTGTGTGTGATCATTTACAGTTTCACTCTGTGTTGTCTCTGTTGAGGGAGGGATTAT